GTTGAGCAAGAACATGCTGATGAAGAGTTGTGCCAAGGTCATCTAAATGCAGCTGTTAGTGTTCGGAGGCAGTGATTTTATAATAACTGTGAGAAATGATTGAGGTACTTTTGTGCATAGGGAATTTTGATTGTAGGATGTTATTGATGTTAATTGCATCTATCCTTTTATTGGAGAATTCGACTTTCATGAAATACCCCGTTATTGGAGAGACTATCAGTCCGAACAGCCTTAAAGGGTCGACTCTGCGCCACGTTTTCAATAGATTCAATACTAGTTTCCAATTTTCTTAAGAGGCAGTTTCAGTAGAATCCCCTTGTAAAGTTTGCGACAAAAGATAGGAATTAGAGCAAAAAACAGTATGGTTCATGTCTACGTTTCCGTCTCCATTGAGGAGTTAAAACATTAATCAAGTATGACTGCATTCCAGACTAGACACATTCCATAAATGGTCATTGCATCCATAGGGTGCAACCGTGCCAAGTGGCTATGTAATACTATCGTTTTCTGCGGTACGCCTATGGATTGTCAGGTAGGTAGAAATGTATTTTTAAACATTGGTTGTCTCCGCGCAGTTCACTGCCAAACGATGACCATTCAATTGATGCCGTAATGGTTCCTTTGTGTCAACAACTTAGATCAAGGTCAAGGAGGTCACACACGATACAATACACAACTATCTAGGTTTTACATGTAACTCATTTATTCAAAGTTCATTTTACAATTTCTCTAGTGATGAAACTACTGTAGATCATGCCAGTGACATATGTATTACATGTCTTACATTTCCACATTTGAAAATGATATAAAAACTCTACCGTTGCTGAAACATCAAACAAATCGAGAAGATCGATTTTACAAGATTTTAAATGTTCATATGCATCAGAAGTTTAAATTTAAATGTTTCTATGCATCAGAAGTTTAAATTTAAATGTTCATATGCATCAGAAGTTTACATTTAAATGTTCATATGCATCAGAAGTTTAAATTCCTCATTTTGAAATATTGAAACAACTTTTTTTGTGTCTGAAACATCAAACTAATCTATAAAATCATTTTACAAGGTTTTTTTGTACATTTAATACCTATGCATCAGGAAAAGCATTGTGCAAAAAAGAGGTGAAACAAGGGCTATTCATGAAACCGTTATCCTCAAGCATTAATTCTGTGTTCCAGGTATATTTCTTTTAACGCACTGAAATCATTTGATATGATCAAAAAGTCCTGTGTAATCAAAATAATATTTGGTTAGATGTCTCTTTGATGTTTTTCGAAATTCTTAATTAAATTAGTTTTGTTCTACATTTATAACCAGAACAAGAATAGAGGATTGAACACAGAATCCGAGTTTTAGCAGTACAGTTATGAACTGTATCGATTGATTGCCGTCAAAACCAAACAAGGGCTGTGATAGTTGGCAAGAATATGTGAGACACCGACAAATGAATGGATGAATCCCTAGAACCCGTTGGCATGGACTATCGAAAAGTAATTTGTATTTTCCACAAGGAATGATGAAAGTGCGTATCAATTCCTTGGAAATTGGTCTTGCAAGACTACATTGAATAGTGTCTAATGATGTGTGTATGCACAGAACGGTCAATGCCGTCCTCTGGCCAGGCGAGCCATCTTTATAACCGGAAGGCTGCCTACTGAATGTCAGTCGACACTTCTATGTGGTGATTTGACGTTCTATCAGCGATGGATTTTCATTAAGGGCCAATCTAAGGCCTTGTCGAACCCACTCAGCGTGCTAATCGTGTTATAGTGACCACCTCTGGTGGTTATTGTATAAGGATGTTTGTTTCATTTCCAGAAACGAACAATAAATAAGACACAATTATTGAATAGAGTTGGCAACATTTTTAATTAAATATACCGTCCCTGATCATCTACATGAGTCGTCCAAATAGTTCAAAATGGGGTTCCAGAGTAACACAGTCAATACCAGTTTGTATATGCAAATATATAAAGCATCAACAGCAGCTGTTATTCTACAGAAAACAGAAGTAACAATGTTCAAATCGAATACTACGACTCAGCTAACCCCTTAAAAAGGTTTGGTCACCATCAAGTTTAACTCTCTGCTAAGCCATATTTTAGGACCCCATTTTACCGGTATATACATGGTAAATGTAAAACCAAGGACCTTATGCATGAACTTTAAATATTGTCATTTCGTGAAACATGTTGTAAGAAATGTAACACTTTTTATTACAATGCTTATAACATGTCTAGCTCATTGATAACATCAGGGATTGTAAAAGATGGCAAATAATCTTAAGTGTAGTTATTAATCTTAGCATTCTCTTTCCTATTCAAAATCGTCTATATTGCTTTGGAAGTTTACTATGATTTAAGTGGTATATCACTGCCACTTCCATCCTACTTAGAGGCCTCTCCGGCCTGTAACGTATGAAGGAGAAAATAAGATCAGCGTGATGTTGGTATGTTGATGAAATAAAAATAAAAGTTGGGTCGCAAAAAAGATTGGCATTTTTTAATACTGATCAACTATTTTTGTTAAGAAATCCGCCTTAATCACTAATTTCTCAACGCTATACAAAAACTTTTAATGACTTTCATACGAATTACTCTTAACCCTGGACAGGTGTATCCGCACTTTTACCGGTGTGAGATTTCCTTGTGTCAATCGGCGGGATTCTCCTATTCATAACAATGGTATGACGTCACTTCAACAATATAATGACGTCACGTCAACAATCCATCAACGTCACGCCAACCCTGAAATTATCATTACATTGTGTATATGATACACAATGGGAGGGTAAGAGAAAAAGAATCATTCACTCCCTTGTGGTTGAGATAGGGATATCTCAACCATCGGGGAAAGATTCTTAAGTTGGCAAACACTCGTCAAAGCCTCGTGTTTTGCAACTTAAGAATTTTCCCCTTCGGGTTGAGATTCTCCTATCTCACACCCAAAGGGGGTGAAAGATTCTATTAATGACGCCGTTCTTACTCTTACTGTTTTGGTATTTATTGTCTATCCATTTTACTATCATATCTAGGATAAATTGTGCGGAATAAGAAACAATGCGGCCGACGCAAAACATACCAGACACATATGCTTATAGATGAAAGTCTAGCTGGTAATTAATGTTGGACAGAGCACTTTGTATTCTCAAAATATGTATGCTTATTCTATGGCGGCACTGGCAGATTCCACACACACACTCTCCTATGGTGGTACCACTATGTCTTTATGCTGCTTATGCATAATCGAGAGGCAATATACATGCATGTACAAACATATTTTGTAACTCGATACAAGATGTTTAAAACATGTGAAGGTTTATATCAGTTCCAATTTACAGTTCGTTATTTTTTAAATGAAAATGATATTTCCAGATCGAACAACTGCTCTTGGTCTTTGTCGTCTATATTGTCCCTTAAGTGTTGTAAGTTTCGCCATTGTTCCTCGTTTTCACCATTGATAGGGGCAATATTTTTAGGCGCACTGTAATTTCAAGGGGCTATACCACCCGTCTGTGGCACTAGGGGACGGTCGGTGTTACCTATTGAATTGTAAATGCTGGCTTGCCACATTTACACTTGATAAACGCCGACTTGGCATGCTATCCTGATGCTGTTGGTGAGAACGTTTTAGTGTACATTTCTATCGATCGGATGGGGTTAATTAGCTGAAAATATGATATGGTGATTTGAGAGCATACATACCATTGACTAGTGACCGAGATTCCTTCTATAAACTGATAGTTTGGTATTGTTTAAATCTCGAAAACGTTAGCAGGTAGCATAAATACATCGCAGATTAAAACCAACGATACACTCTTTACCTGCTGCTGCCAATATTTAAACGAGAAAAGGGCCTTACGATAGCAACTTCGTATCGAAGATAGTCCATGTTGTCTCTTTTTAACGGTTAAGGTCAGAAATCAAATGAATCAAAGTTTTTGTACTGCATGTGTGTAGAAAAAACCCATACTTTAGCATTTTATAAACAGGTGGATGTTTATATAGTACATGGGTGTTCGTAGAAAGCTTTGTTTGAACAGACAATTTTGCTAGTCTAATAAACCATACGAGTAAGAATCAATACTTAGGTGCGCTTACCTCTATCTTGTTCATGTGTCAATTTTAATTTCGTTATTGATTCATTGAAATGCAGATAGTCCCTCTGTGCAATTCGAGGATGTTTATTAAGATGGCTGGGTGATTTTATTTTCCTAAAGTGTAAAATTTGCCATATCAAATTTTGTGGAGGGTGTTGGATGTGATGGTTTGTAACTCTCGAAATGTGCTTCTGTAATCATTGCAAGAGCCTAGCATTCGTAGTTTTCGATTTTCGACAGTTGCGTGTTTCAGGGCCATAGCTTTTAACTGCCAATGACAACAAAATGATAAAAAGTTCACCTTCACCGGCGTGCCAGAATAGCTATATCCCTGTCTAGCGCCGGTCCTTAGGCCAAGTTTGAATTAAAACAGGGACTATAATGTTATTTTCAGAAGATGTTATGCAAATTAAATACCAGTACAGTAAAGAGCACGTCTTGGATACGGCGTTCTGTCAAGTTTGACGGAGATAAATGTGCAGGAGCTGACCAGACCTAACGTTATGGTGGGGCGGCCGTCATTCCTAACGATCAACAACGATTACCACACAACAACCCGTATTGTTATACCGCACGTGCTAGTCTCTGTGCTACGTCCGTTTGTTCCTTCTGCCTGTCTATACCTATCAACATGCACATTTTAATCGACTAGCTCATCTTAATAATGCTAAAATGTGTACCTGACCGACATATCTAATCCTGACTACTGCATAGGAATTGGATTTAATATGGAATTAGAAAGAGTTTGGTGAACCGGTTACATACAAGATACTTGCATGTCTGGTATGCTGATGAGACAGTAGTTAGAATCCTTTGTAAATCTGTAACACTACCTAGAGCCCAGTAGGAGACCAAGTCAGGACGTCCGAAAGTGCATAATGAGCTTATCTTCTTTTATTCTAGCGTCTAATGAAAGGTCTAACAGCAAGGATGATGTGAGAAAGGAGAACGAATTGCTGTGGACGGAACTGGATTCCCTTCAAAGAGAACACAAGAAACTTAAACAGGTTGTCGAACAACTGGCGCGTGATTATGAGGAAAGTAAATACTTTGATCCTCTGCGTCGCTATGAAAAAATGAAAGGAATGATAAAAAGGACAATTTTGCACCTTCGTCTAAATCAGGACGACAAGGGGTCGAGTTGCGGTATTAGTGGACTTATACAGAGTTGTCGGGATTACGCTCACCAGGTGGAAGCAGGAAAACGCCGCGAACAACACCAGTCTGCAAGTAAGATGTTTCCTACTCCTTCGTTCATCACAATTGTGTCAGATTTCTTATTATAAATAACATTTCAAAGGAAAAAGTTTAACATCTTTTTTCTATTTTTTTAGATGAATTCTGAGTTTTTAATATTACACTGCGTATATATTTCCCTTATGTAATTATCTTAATAGTTGTTAAAGATGTATATTAAATCATTTTAATATAACTAATAAATTAGTCACAAGAGAATTGTTCTAACGATTGAAGTAGCATTTCGTAACATTTGGTTTTTATACTATACTAAAAACTCACTAATTGTCACTGCGTTCCATTTAGCTGGATTTCGAACTCCGAATAATCATTACTCAAAATTACTCTTAAGACGTAAACGTAACGCTAGCATATATTTGTGGTTGGTGTATATTTCCGCCAATTGTTTAAGAAGATTGATTTTAACTTTTATTTAAACAACGTGTAATCAACCTCCAGAGTTAGCGGGCTTCGTTTCGGGTCCTCGATAAGAATCTACATTGTGCAGCAGTCCACTGAAAGGTACTTGGCGTCTTTTGCTCATCGATTTTTTTCATATTTCCCATAAAACGTTCTCTCTAGTTTTTACATGATACAACATGAACATGAAATGTCTCGACGATGGGTTTTTTCTTCTCAAACTGGACTTTGCCATGTTATCAAATTGGCAAACGGCATTATGAAATCAATATTTAACACGATATTTATTAAGGGCTGCCGATATTATATTTATTCTGACGTTTTTGTTATGGCTATTAATGTTTATTGGAGATTTTAGAAGTAAGTTTCACGCTATTTCAGCTTTCCTCTTATTCAAACTTTTAGGATGAGTTTAGCTTCAACGAATCACAAAACAAAGAAACTCGGGTTGATGAATATTAAAAAACTATCTGTTATCTGTGACGCCTCCCAAATCAACAAATAGTAGCTGTCATATCTATGTTGATCTTTTGATATTTTTAGTGTAAACGAATAAGAAGCTTGCTGCTTTCCTTTTCAATTTAGGCATTTTTATTCTTATTGTTTTGCGGGTCAACTTATGCTACTTACCTTTCCAATTTTATGTGATATTACATATACCAATGCACCCTTATCCAACCATCGAATTTAGCTACGATAAAGTGTAAGGCATGAAGCCATTGTACAAAGTACATGTAGGTTATTGATGTGCTAAGCCATTGTACAAAGTACATGTAGGTTATTGATGTGCTAAGCCATTTTATAAAGTGCATGTAGGTTATCGATGTGCAAAGCCATTGTATAAACTGCATGTAGGTAATTGATGTGCTAAGCCATTGTATAAAGTGCATGTAGGTTATTGATGTGCTAAGCCATTGTACAAAGTACATGTAGGTTATTGATGTTCTAAGCCATTTCATAAAGTGCATGTAGGTTATTGATGTGCTAAGCCATTTTTTAAAGTGCATGTAGGTAATTGATGTGCTAAGCCATTGCACAAATGCATGTAGGTTATTGATGTGCTAAGCCATTTTATAAAGTGCATGTAGGTTATTGATGTGCTTATCTATTTTCCATAAATTACCCTGCCAATACAGAAGCTACATTAAAAGTCTGACATCAGCAGTGGGGTTATAAACTTGCTACCGCTACAGCCAAATATAGCGCGTTTAAGGTTAAAAAGTAACATATAAATTTTCACTTCTTTCGTGGTTTGTGTGATGATGATAACTGAACAAAAAGTGACTTCCGGTCCGTCACTTTATGTATGCGCAGCATTCCTTACACGTATACAAAGACGATTCACAACGTTTATACATGTACTGTATTGTAGTCGGAAAGCGAGATTACTGCTCCCAGTTAGTACTAGCATGGAACACGCGAATACACCATGTAACGGCTCGCACAGGATTGATAAAGACCTTGAAATGTAAAACTGTGGTAAAATAGAAACAATGGTAAAAGATCGTATTATAGAAACTGTTGTGAAAGTCCGTGTAATAGAATCAATGGTAAAAGTCCGTGTTGTAGAAATAGTGGTACAATTTCGAGTAATAAAAACAATGGTAAACGTCCGTGTAATAAAAAAAGTGGGAAAAGTCCGTGTAATGGAACGCACAGTGGTAAAAGCCCATGTTATAGAATCAGCGGTTGAAGTCTGTGTAATAGAGCAACAGTGGTAAAAGTCCTTGTAATAGAATCAGCGGTAAAAGTCCGTGTACAAGTGTCAGTGGTAAACGTCCACGTAATAACAACAGTGGTAAAAGTGATGCAATAGAACACACAGTGGTAAAAGTCCGTGTAATAAAATCAACGGTAAAAGTCCGTATAATAGAACACACAGCGGTAACAGTCCGTGAGATAGCACACACAGTGGTAAACGTTCGTGTAATAAAAACAGTGGTAAAAGTCCATGCAATAGAACACACAGTGGTAAAAGTCCTTGTAATAAAATCACCGGTAAAAGTCCGTATAATAGAACACATAGCGGTAACAGTCCGTGTAATAGAACACACAGTGGTAAAATTTCGTGTAATAGAATCAGTAGTAAAAGTCCCTGTTATATAACACACAGTGGTAAAAGTCCGTGTAATATAATCAGTAATAAAAGTCCGTGTAATAGAATCAGTGGTAACAGTCCGTGTAATAGAACACACAATGATAAAAGTCCGTGTAATAGAATCAGTAACAAAAGTCCGTGTAATAGAAACAGTGGTAAAAGTCCCTGTAATAGAACACACAGCAGTTACATTCTGGGTAATAGAACACACTGTGGTAAAAGTCCGTGTAATAAAAACAGTGGTAAAGGTCCGTGTAACAGAATCAGCGGTAAAAGTCCGTGTAAGAGAACACGCAGCGGTAACAGTTCGTGTAATAGAACACACAGTGGTGAAAGTCCGTGTAATAGAATCAGCGGTAAAAGTTGCGTTGTATAGTAACAGTGGACATCCGTGTAATAGAGGAAAAATGAAGTCTGTAAAAGTCCGTGGAATAATGCGACTGCATAATCATTTTATCAAGTGACGACTTAATAACCATAATGTGATATTGATGTCATAAAAACTTTGTATATTTATCAAGTTACCAGATGTGTAGGTTTTATAAACTCTTAACCTATACCAAAAGTGATTTTCTATTTGAAAACTTGGTACAACCATCGCAAGCTCTTAATAGTAATATATGAGATGTATATAAATAACAATAGAGGATGTCTTAACATGTAACAAGTCAAGGGGCCCAGCAAAAATTTATTCAACATCGAAGCATGGCACCATTTTTACAGCTATCACATAGCACTGTGATGTTACAACTAAGACCAGAATCCGTATGAATACAAATCCTTAAGTGTTCAGAAAGTGCTTCAGTCCGATAACACTACTAAGCAGGTATCCGTTTGCGCTTAGCATATTGCTTATCTCATTAAGTGGGTTGCATGGTTTTTCGTAATGCCTAAGAATATTTTTTAAAGTTAAGCTAACACTTACCCTGTCTTAAACCTTTGAGCAACACGCTTACCTTTGCAAAATGAATGCCGCAAATGGACAATATAATGCACCAGTTTAAAAAGGCATTAAGACGGGAAAGACATTTTCGAGACAGATTTGATCCACTCCAACACTTTGATGCCTTAGAACTTTACCAGCAATTGAGGTTTGACGGGGAGATTTTTTTTTAATATCGATATGGTTAAAAATGATATTTCACATGCAACGGGGAGAAACAGTTTACCTCCACAAATGCAATAGTAATTACATTTAGATGTTACGCTACTTGGGAAATGCAAATACTATGTACAATGTATATAGTTAAATTAACGTCTCAGTACATAAGAACCGTAGCTTGTAAATAATAATAATAATGATAATAATATACAGCATTTATATAGCGCCCTATATAATTTGTAAAATTACTCTAAGGCGCTTTACAACATATGGATAATAGTAATGGTTATAATTGTGAAAACAAACAACAAAGGCTTGCAATCACTTTCATACATTTAACAAGGAATGTGCACATAATTGAACAAATAAAAGGTGTGGTATTTACATGACGTCTTTGCAAAGATTCTAAAATGCAGACGTGAAGAGGTGAGTTTTTATGTCCCTCTTGAACTTGGCCAGGGTATTCGACTTCCTAATAGCAGATGGTAAGCTATTCCACAACGTAGCCGAAACCCTCCCAAAGCATCTGTTTCCGTAGGTCACAGTACGAGATTTTGGGACACACAACAAAGATTCTGACTCCGACCGCAGTGATCTTGACGGCTGATACAGGGTAACAAGTTCCTGTAGGTACTGAGGAGCTGTTCCATTCAGTGCCTTGTATGTGTATACCAGAATTTTGTACTGCGACCTGTATCGTACAGGTAACCAGTGCAACGAATAAAGCGCAGGTGTGATGTGCTCTCTCTTTCGAGTACGAGTAACTAGCCGTGCTGCAGTGTTCTGAACCCTCTGCAGACGACTAGTTAGTTTGTCAGATATACCACAGAGTAGGGCGTTACCATAATCCAACCGAGAGGAACATATTCCACTTCATAAATGTTCATGTAGTTGCAGATGCACGTTATCGCATTCTTGACCTAGCTGCAAGATGGCCATGGTCAGCACATGAAGCCAGGATCCTTCGTGAAAGTTGCCTAGCCATATTTTTTTAATAAAGAATGGTACCAGTATAATGTCATTTATTTGGCGACAGCGGCTAACCCTGTAAAACTGGCTATTGACATCTTACCATAACCCACAACCTTGAGCACAGACTCTGTACAACAGGTATCTTTTCTCTTGTCTGTACATTTTTCTGACAGAAGTAAGCTTGTTATCGGTAAGCGATTGTGGTTTTGTTTTTCTCTCAAAAGGGCTATCTGTCTCCATGTCTCGCGTTTTTTTCTAGGTCGTCACCCCTACTTCAATCTCATAATCTCTTTGTTCTCCTCTACCTTTTGTGTGAGGTACACGCATTCGTCAGCCATCCAGTTGGGCTTTTGCAATTTTTTTCATGGAATCGCTCTAGCATCTGAGGCTATATATTTACAG